GCGCCGAAGAACTTCACTTATGTAATACTGACAGCTGCCACGAACATATGCATTCCTGTAGCATGTGGAACCAATCCATATCACAAGCAGTTTTCACTCCCACATTTTGCCATAAGGTTCCTCAAGCAGGAGCCATTCCCCTCTCGAACAGATCCATACACATACGGGCCACGAAAGCCCCGCCGTAAGCTGCCTACACAGCAATTTCTAAATGCCTCTCCTCAAAAACTTGGCAGGCGGACGAGGTCAAAGGCTTATTCCTTTGGGATGGCCAAAGTACGACACCGCAGGTCCTGGAGGGGACACCCGCCGCCCCAGCCCGAGGGCACCAAGCCCATTTCCACGCCACGTTTCCCCGGGAGAGGCCTCCAGGCCCGGCGGGGAGGAAGGGCCGGGCCCCGCCGCCACCTGGGCGGGCGCCAGGCGAGCCCAGCTCCGCCCGCCCCAACCCCCCGCACCTCCGCAGAGACCCCCACAGGGCTCCTGTGCCGAGGATCCTCCTTTCCCCTCATCATCCCCTGAAACAGCGTTTGACCGAGATAACGCAAGCAGTTCTCCCACCCCCACCCCCCGCCCTGCGTTCGCTCCGTTTCCCCTTTGCTTCGTCCCCCCTTGGAAATAGAAAGGAGTGAGGAAAAAAAGCGAAGGTGAAAAGAGAACGAAAAGGAGCCGCCCTCACCACTTACAACTGGAACAGAAAGCGAGCGAGCTCTGTGTCCGCCCTGCGCGCACAGACAAAATGGCGGCGGAGAGCGCGGAGAAGCGGCTTCCTCCTTCTCCCTCGTTCTCGCGGCGTCTGTGCGCMGTGACGTCAGACGCACGGCGTGTGGGCGGGCAGGGCGGGAGCTSCGGGGAGCGGCTCCACCCCTGAGGCGGTGCCACCGCTATGGCCGCATCTCTGAGGGGAATGGGGGTGTTCGTTCTTCCCTTTCCGTCCCGTCCCATCCTACCTCACATGGTGGGCATCGCCTTTACCCAAATCCTCCATGGTTTTGTGGCCCAACTCCATGGAGGGGTTCAAGCAACGAGGGCGAGTTCAGAGGCCACCCCCGAGCGGCGGGCCTGCCCTCCTCTGGTGCCTCATCAAACATTTGTAGCAATAAAGAAATCACCCCATTACTCCTAAGCGCCAATTAATTTATTCCGGCGAACTCGCCAAACGTAGCGTTTAAACAATTCGGTCCGTAGTTAGACCTGTGTTCGAGCCGTTCCTGTGCGATGGTCACGGTAAAAACCCAATAAAATATTTTGTCTGCAATTTTCAGCGGCTCCCTCCGCCGTGAGGAAATGCATGGATTGCTGTGCGATTCCTGATTCATTCCGGAGCGCTGTGGGATGSTGGATCCGGCTGAGTCATGTCCCGGCTGAGTAAAACCCGTCCCAGGCCTGAGTTACTGCGGGGTTAACGCTGAACTGCACAGGGAATTTGTTATCAGCWGCGACTCCAACCAGCACTCGGACTCAGCATTTAATAAGCCCAAAGAGATTGTTACGAAGTAAAGAAAAGCAAACCCGAAAATAGGGAAAAGTGGAACTTAAATGCAAGCTTCAGATTTAGTAGCTCAAGATGTTTTATCTGGAGAAAATGACAATTTTTGAAGGTTAATGTGTAAAAYGAAAAACCCCTGAACTCACTGACTCTTTCCCAGAATATTTTTAGCAAGTTTTACCCCTAATGCAGCAAGATTTTGCAGTGGCTGGTATTCCTGGCAGGGCAGAGAAGATGGGATGTGACAGGATCATGCTATCTGCCTTTCTTATTTCACTGCCTTTTCTAGGGTTTTACTGGGTTTTACCTTTGTTATTTTCCTCTCCCCTTAAGAATGGATGACAGGGCCTCTAACAGGATATAGCAATTCAGGGACAATTTTGGGAAACCACATTTAATGGAAAAAAGAGAATTTAATGCAGAAGAGATGCTCCGAACTGACTACCTTTGGGARCAGAAAATTTTTGGTTCTAGGATATTTTGGTTCTCTCCTGTCAGGAATAAAGATCTTCAGCCTGGAATAGAAAAGGTAGAAATAACCATTGTGCATTAAAAAAATAATGAATGGGAGCTGTAAAAATTTACTGGTTTCAGCCAGAGGTTTTCAGCTGAAAGTTGAAAGAGATAAACCTATCAGAAGTTAATAATCGGACCTTTTTGAAGAAGAAGAGCAGTGTATAAAGGTTGTACCACCTTCATATCAAATATAGATAAATTTCCCTCTGAAGCAAATGCTTTACAACAGATTTTATAGAATGTAGCCTCTCTAGCTAGATTGCAAAGCAGTTTCAGCCCCTGCTCTGTGTGCTGAACAAAGTGCTTTCAAAATCACCTCTGCAGACATTCAAAAGAAAAGCAGAATTGGAAGCAGTTAATTTTCCTTCATGTTCAGGAGGGGGCAGTGGAGACACAGCAGTAGAGGAAGTGACAGCTGGAATTTAAGCGGTGTCTCAGAGAAGGATAAAAGGAGAAATTTGYTGTCTGCGACCAGATTATGTAGCAGAAAGTGACAGTCCCTCTAGAAATGACAATTTTAAGTCAGGAATGAGACGAAGAATACTGAAGAATCAAACTGGAGAAATTTAGKCTTTACAAAACTCAGGAAATTCATMTGAGTGTAGTTACAGCTACTTCTGCTGTCAGCCCTTATGGTATATTTACTTTTGTTTATGTGAGATATATCCTTCTTTAATTAGACYTGCAATGCCAAATGTATGCACAGTTTGAGAAGGGGGTAGCACACAATGAAACTATGTTTTAGATTGCTTTGTACAGCAGAGTACGTTACAATTCACTGTTACTGTGCTGGTGGGACACATTTGTAGTGTATGAAAAGATACATTCAAACCATTCCCTTCAAAATGCAATTTTGTAAGGTCCCTCTTTCAAAAGCCTAACCACAGGAGGTGATCCATCCTCACAGCAGCTCTTCAGGAGACATRAATCTCATTTAGTGTTCTCATTGTTTGGATACACTGCCTTGCCCAAAGCCTCCGAAAAACTCTGAGGAAAAGCTAAAAATTCCTGGCTTTCAGTTTGTCCAGTGCTGTGCTTGCTTTCTCTTTATTACAAATGTGTTGGTTATTTTTCTTCCCTCTGGTTAGTGTCAGAGGGTGGCTGATTAGCAGCTGTACTTTGCCTTTAGTTGTTTATGGATTTCTACAGTTCCGTGGTCTGATTTTCATACTGACAAGAGAGATTTTCTTAGGTTCCCTCCAATGTGTGGGAGCAGCTGTAGCTTTGCTTGGCAGCTCAGGGACARAATAATGACAATACTGTCCCTCTGTAGGGGACTGAACTGAACAGGGATGGAAAAAACTGCCAGGAGAATTTCTAAGATATATCAGGCAAAATATATTATTCATTTCACAAATCACTATAACTACTGATCAAGGGAGCCAGTGTCCCAGATTGTTGTGGCATATGTAAATTCAAAGAGATAATAGGAACTTGGATGCATGGAGCAGCAGAAAGGCAAAGCGAAAGCCCACTGACAGTTGTATTTCCTTTCCATTATAGTTTATTTTTATGAAGCAAAAATTTAAAATAATATGTTATTATTATTGTTGTTGTTATTATTATTATTATTTAGATTGTTACTATTTAGGTTATGCAGTAGAATACAAAAAAATGCAAATAGGTGGAAAAGAAGCAGGTATGGTTATGACTTAGGGACACTTTTTCTTTGTTAAAGAGTTATTAGAATTTTTCTTAGAAAAGCAGTGACCCAGAAACTTTGTGTGAGCATGGGCACTTGTGTTCATTCCCGTGTGCACTGGGGAAAAGCTGTGGCCAGGTAATACAATGGTTCTCTCTGAGCTGTGAACRGTGGCAGACTGGAATGGCCTCAGCGTGTTCCCATTGCACTGAGGGCGATGGGGACACCGTGCYTTGAGCAGCTGGCAGGGCACCAAGGGCACGGTGTGTTCCCTGCAGTGGGCAAACTGGTTTTCACTTTGGTCATACACAAATCCCAGCTGGGATCACCTTGTGCTCAGCTGAGCTGATCCACACCCTTTAACTGAAAGGCTTACTGGGATGGTTGCAAACTTGGGGCTTCTCTCGCTCTCTGTGGCACAACAGAGCCCCCTGAGGACTGAAATGTTTCAGCCTAATAAAGAATTGGGGGCTTGACATGGSGAAGCCTGAATAAGCTGCAGTTTACAGGAAATTCAGCCAGATGACTCAACAGTTCTTTTTGGCAAGAGCTCTGGCACGGTGAGTAAGAACACTGTGCTGAGAAAGGAGGTGGCACGTCCCTCTTCTGCAGGCTTTGGAGTCAGTGACACCACTTCCACCGAGCASTTCTCCCTTGGTGCCAACAGGCAGGGCCAGCTGTGCTGAACACTGTGACACACTCACAGCAGCAGCATGCTGCAGGTGCCAAATGTTACAGCAAGGAAACTCCGCCACTTGCATCTACACAAGTTTCACCTCTGAGCCTCTTTCTTCTTTATTTAAAAGAATTTTTAACTGTTTGAAACAAGGATGTCTCCTATTGTAAGTTGTTACTGAAATGAGTCCCTCATCTCAGTAGAAGTTCTCAGTTTATTATTTGTATTGCTGTCTGCAACACAAATATTAAAAGAACACATTTAAACATCAGTTGTACCACAGAGTTTTAGTAACAAGCTAAAAATACTCAGACACAGTATTTTTATGCTGACAGAGATCAGCTTTTCCCTCTTGTTATTATGAAGTTTCCATTCTACAACTTCTATTTGGGAAAATATTTTATTATGGTAACTGAATCTACCTCTTTCCCTTGAAATGCATATGCACTGCAATGTACTGAATGTGTGAGGATGAAGAGAGAAGTAGTRAAGTGTAAATGAGAAAGAGCAGAAACCAGTTTTCTGCCTAGACACATAATCATGAGTTGTTGTGCAGAGTCAGGGACACCTTTATATTTCTGGAGTTTCAAAGCAATGTGAGTTTCTTCACAACCTATCCTGTAGATTTGCAGTTGTTGAAATCTTTACTAGATATAAAACCAAAGAAAAAAATCCACACAGCCAAGCCTTTTTTTTTTAATTATTATTCTTATTTGACACTCACATTACAAAATTTAGAAACCATAGACAGTTCAGGCAAACTGTTAAAACACAGTATAAATTAGGGGGGTTTAATATATAAATTCTATACATAGGTAAGTTAGCTGGAACATGACTGACAAAAGGATTTCATAACAATCTTACCACAACTGTATAAAAAGGCATGGGAGTAGGATGGGCACTATCATCATGAATGCAGGTTAAGACATTTTCCACAACAGCTATAAAGCGTAACAATGACCATGCTATTCTCGCAGTGTTTATGTGGGGTACGGGATGCATATTACCAATAACATTTTGCAAGATCTATGTACAGTCACAAAATCATGACAGCCACTTTCAAGTAACTTTACTGTTTCCTGCCTGTGCAATTAATAAAGTGTTGGTATTTGTTCTGGGAACTTCCAACAAAGCTACATGGTTTGAGTATAATGGATGGGTTAAAAGTCGGACTTGATGATCTTAAAAGGTGATGATCCTTTCCAACCTAAATGATTCTACAATTTTATGATTCTATGGTAGAGGGATTTTAACTTGACTTGAAAATGTTAATCACAACATGAATTGTTTAATTTAATGAAAAAGATACAKGAAAAGCACAGTTCCTCATTGCTATCACTCACATGATTAATATATACCACTCTTTTAAGCCATATTTATTTCTTAGCTTGATTATTTTCAAAACCTAGAATCTTAATTTAGTTCCCATTTATCTAAGCACAGTTGTGAAAAGGAGTAACAGCAGAAGAAATGTAAAACAAAAATTTGGATATCTTTGTGGGGTAATTTTTTGAAAGGACATACTTCCCAGGTAACCCTAGRCTTGTCATTAAACCTTTGAATTTCTCGGTCTGAAAATACAGACAACAGTTCTGCTTACCCATTTTTACTCTGTGCTTTTACGTCTGTGACTAAATAGTATCATTCCAACTGTTTTAGAATGTTCTTGGAGTTTATATTAAAGATAGTTGATAATCACTTTTGCTAAAAGTGAAAAAAATCTTAAAATCCCATTTTTCACCTTTATAAGCTGATCAACACTTGCTAAGAGTTCTGAAAACCAGAAGCAGAGGATAATTTATTTTCCATCTGTGTTGTGTACTGGTAATGGTGTTTTTACAGACAGACCCTCAAGGGAAGTACTTGTACATTTATAAGAATCAGAACCTCAAAACACTTGAATTTAATAGCTCCATTTGTGCGTCTTTCACTAAGTTTTAATAATTAGAACAATTGTATTGGAACAATTCCTTCTGGTTCAAGGCAAGGACAGACAGTAAGTGATAACCCAACTTGGGCTGCTAAAGAAATACATATGATGTCAACAGTCCAGACTACAGCCCCCATTTCCTCTGTTCTATTCGCCCATGGACCAATCATCAAAAAACCATCATATGTTCATTTCAAAAAGACCAGAATTTTAGAAGCATAATTAAATAAGGAAAGCAGTGATATAGTACTGACCAGTAATAGTTCACTGAGGAAATCATGTTTCTCTAAAAGGTAGCTGGAATATGGAATTTTCTGTTCAAAATTTCATTAAATGGGCTTTGCACCTTTTAGAAGGAAGGTTCCTGTACAAACATTTAACTTGTAGGACTCGTGAGCTCTGAACTCTTCTGCATTCTAGGAAGCCTGGGAACATTGCTACACTGCAGTATTAATCTRGGTTGGCAGTTTTAAGGCCACGGGGATGAAAAGGGAGAAGGACTCTATTCTGTTATGACAGATCTGGAGTATGATTACAGAACCTTTCTATGGCAGAGAGCTAGAAAAATGTTCCTTTGGCATTTTGCAAGAGCTGTTTATGGAGCAAAACACCACTTCTGTGGAGGGAAAGGCATCAAGGGAAAAGCGAGCAGTCTGAGCCACTCTGAATTTACAGCACTACAGTTTGTGCTGGCCACAGAGAAGGGCAGGGGATTTAGGCAGGAGTTACTCAGCTTTTTCCTGCARCTGAGGCTGCAGCCTGAGTTTCAGTGTCTTGCACCTGTGCAGAATGGATGAAATACCACCTGTACAAGCTCTTTGCACCCTATCTACACTTGCACAATGTAACAATGCAGMTGTGATGCCCTGTATGAGCATTAGCTTTAATGTACTTAGTGGTTTTTGCATGTCTGAAAAAAATATGCACAAAGAATTGTAAAAGGAATTAATACAAACCAGATTAAACTCCAGATCTGTTCCATCCAGATCTGTTCCTGCTCTACAGAGCAGGAAGCAGTGATTGCAGGGGAAGGGACATGCTCTATCCAATATTAMAACAAAATTATTGGTAACATTTTCTGCACCAGAATTTCACTATATTATCTCCTGCCTTCACCTGCCCAGCTGCCATTGGTATTACTAGAAGATATGCACAGGTATTTTGTTCCACTCTTCTGCCATGCTGTGAAATATGAAGGTTAACAATCATTGAGGTATTTCTCATAATTTTTAAAATATTTATTTTTCTATGTTGCTTAGATCTTTGAATCTCTGTTAGCTAAGTAACAAATTCTTCACTTTTCCAAGTCCAAGACAAACCTCTTTTAGTTCAAAGAATTTTCTTGTAATCATTCTGTTGGGTATAGTAGGCTTTGCCTCAGGTGAACTTCCAAGAACTTCCTGCCTTTCAAAAGGGATATGTGCTGGCATCAGAAAGCTGAGTGCAGGCTCAGATGTGAATGTGCACATCAGCTTTGTCCCAGGATCATCCCATCACCACAGTGTGTCCCTGGTGGTGCCACGTGCTGCCATCCAGACCCCACGTACATGTGTGCTRTTCCCCAGCCACACTTCAGTAATGCCCTGCACCACCTACAGAGGTAATTTCACTCGACAGGTAATGTTAGAAAGGACAGAAGAAAAGACAGCTTTGGCCCACAGTTGAGTTTCATAGCAGTTACAGAGGGGGTTTTCCCTGTTTSCTTGTCACTCCCTAACCCCATTCTGTAACTACAACAATGGAAATAATCAGTTCACAATCAAAGGGGGTTTAATTTTCAATGAGTCATTTGAGATGGTACAGCTGATTTTTACTAGTATAAAAAGAGAAAAAGCTTCTTAAAACCAGAAAGTCAAATTTTGCTCTCAGACTTTAATTCATTCATTGGATCAGATTTAATTCTCAAATTTGCTGTTGAAACTTCAACAATGTCAAATMAAACTTTAGCTAAGGCTGGATTTTTACCCTATTCAGTGCACCTCCCATCTGAGAGTTGCACCTGCACAGAGACTACACCAGTTGTCAATACAGTTTAATACATATGAATAACTAAAAACTGTACTGCAGTTAATAATAGCAGGACTGCTATTATCAAAGCCCATCAAAATTAATTGGACTTTTTCCTCTAGCACATTGCTGTGCTTGGAATCAGTCTGATTGCATGGAACACAGYCATTGCTAGGCCAGAGACTATTAACTGTGTAACATTTTTACACTGATATGCATAACTATCTTTTCTTCTAACATGTCTTTTTTGTTAGTAATTCCAATTACATATTCAGTGATCTAAGTTCTGTTCTAAACTGGATTTACAGTCACATGCAAACCAGTGCTCATGTGCTTTAAGAAAAGGTGCACAAACTATTGCAATAAAACATGATGAAATAACRTAAGATATCAGTAAGGGACAGGCTTCATTTTAAGTGAGTGATTATCTTATCACCACTGACCACATYATAAAATATTCTCAAACTGAGAAAAATATCTCCACATTTAAATTGTTTCTTATTTAAGTGCTTTACCAGCTGTCCACACTTTTATTAAAGTGACACCTCAGTAGAGGCTGAGATCACAGTTTGCTCTATCCACATGGGGAGCTTCCAGAGATGTATGACAGGATTGTGTTCATTGTCTAAGAGGGGGAATAATGATAGCCTAATCAGTGTACTCTGGTGCACAGGGTTCTYGAGTGCTTGACTCGTTTTGAGTTTCTGCCCTGAAAATTTAGTCACGCCGAGCTGACCCACATCCGTGCACCTTTAATTCAGTAATATGATTGATGCTGATGTGAAATTGAGGGCAACGTTGTATGATTAAGTGTCTTTTGAAAGGCATTAAGGAAATTAGTCTACTGACTTCACACAAGCTGAAGGCACACAATTCCCTCCTTGCTTTCTGCTGAGCTTTATATTTAGCCCTGCACTGCAGAATGGCACACTCAAGAAATGAAGAAATGGGACTTTTGCTACCATTCTGATTACACTGGAGGAGGTGYAGAAGTGATTTCATGTATTTGGCTCTTTAAAATACTGCTGTACACCAGAAGCTAAGTTAATGCTTCTGTAAGACTGTGTCATTATTCACATCTTACCAGCTTAGGGGGTTGATACCAACACTGCAGACCTAYGGGTCTAGTTTTGCTCTCTTCTCAGTGTTGCTGTAGTTCAAGCAGCTGTCAGGGAGTGATTCCACTCAAAGAAGCAGAATTAGAAAGCCACAACATTACTACTACTAAGTTACCTAGAGGTTGGTCTAATGACTACACGCCTTACAGTGGTTTAGTCCTTGGTGGGAAGTGATCCTGTTTTTTTTTTTTCAGGATGGCAGGAGTTCTTTATGCCTTTAAGAACTTCTAAGAAAAATGGATCACTGGACATGCTTATGTTCTCATTTTCATTTAATATTACTACATTTTTAGAAGAAATCTATTGCCCAAATTGTCATTCTTTGTTTCCAGTTGTACTCAGTTGGTGAAGCAGGGCTCTAACCATGCTCCGGCCAGGAGCTGTTCACCCTGGTTCGGCCACAGAWCAATTAAAATGCAACCGACAGCTGCAACTTAAGGCTTACCTTGTTTCTGTTTAAATATTTTAGCTACAAAATTATGTGGAGACAAGCTATGACTCCTGAAGTCTGTTTTTTAAAAGCACCATCTTCTCATTTTGAGTTGTTTTGCACGCTCATCTCCAAGATATTTTGCAAAGAGCAGTGAGTGTCTCTGGAGATCAAACACTACAGATTAATGTGCCATGMACCTCTATAAAGCAATGATTGCCTCACTCCTCACCAAGAGATGAGGATGTTTAGCACCTCTGAAAAAAAGACCTTTTAAATGTGTGACTACATGAAGGCTTAAGAATAATTTAGTGCTTCTGACAGTCCCACTAAGCCCTTAATACCCACCTAAATCTGACCTTCATGCTTCCATTTCAAGCACTGAGGTTTGAAAGTTTTGGACTACGGAAGTGGTTTAGTTTGCAACAGTGATAAATTTTAGGAGATCTAATTTAATTTATACTTACAAAATTGCCCAAATTCAAGGAAGGTGCCCCAAAATATAAGGAATTATAATGAGAAAACGCTTTTTAATTCATTGTCATGGTTTTATAATCTCATCTCTACCAGCCTCTAGTGGCTCATTAGAAAAGGAGTGAGGATTTCCATTTTAAAAAGCAGGTTTTAAGAAAGGGCCCATCCACCTACACTGGATTTCACATAAATAAAACCCCCAAATTTCCACTGTGAAGTCACACTGTGCCTGTTAAAAAGCTGCAGATAGTAAGAAAAAAATGACCATTTAGCAAACACACTTAAACATTAGCATTGTTGTAGATATGTTTATGGTTATTGCTCTGGATTCATYTGAAATTTAACAGGCTTTTAATGGCTTCATTTTGGAAATGGTTCTGCCTGAAGGAACAACTATGTGGGTATAGCTTCTCTGTACAGCTCTCAGCTCATGTACAAAAATTAACAAACAGCATATTCACAGTATCAGCAGATCAGCCATCATTCCRTGGCTGCAATGATGCTGTGCCATCTTTACAATTAGTTCTTCCATGCAAAGCTTGAATAAACACATTWCAGTTTTATATCCCCCTTGTTCAAATTCAAGCGCTGAGAGATCTACAGAGAAAGGGGAGCTGAACTTCTGCTTCAAGCCCCTGTTTGCAAATGTGGAAGAATCCACCCTGCTCAGCTCAGCTCAGCAAGCACAAGAGCAGTGGATTCCAKTGAGCCAGGCTGGGCTCCCACAGGCCATAATTCAACACAGAACTGCTCTGCAGACACATCARACCTGGAGTGCATCACACAGAGCACTCTYRGGCTGCTGCCCTCAAACTCCAGCCCACCAGTGCCTCCAGGTCAACAGCTCCCACAGGCACAGACAACTTTGAGGCCTGGCAGAGGGCAGGAACAATTCCAGTTTTCTGGCTGAATTCATACACCAACAGCCAGGTTTTAAGACTAGCCTAATTTTTCAAAATACTACAGCCACTTGGAATCACTCTGTACTGAAATAAAATTATTATTTATTGCAAAGAAAGCATTACATCCTTCTGTTGTAGGGAGAGAAGGACTGGAACATCTGAAAAGGCAGCACCAAGTCAGTAATAAAAGTGCAATGTTCAGTATGAATGTGGCTTTTAGGTTTAATTTAAGCTTTTTGAGATATTTTCTGGGGCAGTTAGGAACATTCCTTTTACACACAAACAATTAGTCTACTGTTAGGGCTTAGTTTTGAATCTAATACAGTTTTTTATCATTTMATGTATCTATTACAGTAGCACCTTGATCAGTGTACAACTTTAAACACAAGACATAGTCCCTATTTCATATTATCCRTAAGGAAACTGTGAACTATACATCCTAAAAGTAAAAAAGACAAAAATGGTTATCTGCTCATGAATGACAAATTCTTTAGKGCATTCATTTTAGTCTGAAACCCTTTGCCCTTTTAAAGCATACCATGTAGTTCCCAAATTCAGAGCTATTATCCTCCATCCTCCTAAGTATTGTTTTGCAAAATAAACAGTACCATGTTAACTGGAACCTGATAGAAATAGTAATTCAGTACCTTTTTTCTTTGAGTGTGATAAAACCTCTTAAAAGATGCAACTCAGCATCAATGAATTTAGGGAGTATACTACATACATTAAATAGAGGTAAGTTGAGTCCAGAGTCATTTGCTTCTTCATTCAAACTCAGAAGTGGTGGGGGTGTCTTWAAGCAGCACCATCTGCACTCTGTGCCCTCCTCAGACCCGCCCAGATCCACAGCAAGGAAAGCAACCACAGTGCTGGGAAGGTTAACTAAGCAATATCCCACTCCAGGCTGTTGTCTGTAAAGGTCCGTGRGGTCAGGACAAGTGTCCCATGCTGATGTGACAGACTTGTACGTGAGCAGAGTCAGTCCTCATCCCTGCAAGCTCATCCCTGCAGCAGTCAGTGCTTTGTTCAACAAGGCTGGGGGACTGCTAATGCAAGATTAAGTTCTTTTTTCTTCATTCAGCAATTAACCAGATTGCTGTTGTGTCTGTCTTTGATTTAATTTTACAATCCTCAGAGGGTTTAWAGAGCTGCTGTCTGAAGCACCTGCTTCTGAAATACTCTTGTATTTTTGCTTTCCTTTTTTATACTTTTCCATTCTCTCTTGCAGTACCATGATTCTCCCTGCTCCTGGTTTTCTTGCGTTTTCCTTCAGAGGCAAAATTACAGCAATCCTGACGCAGTTTGGGCACAGCCACAAATTGTTTGTCCTTCCTCTCTCTGTCTCATAGCTAGAAAAGCATCACTGTGCACACAGTTCTGTCGATTTCCGTGGATGAATCCAGTTCATCCATCATGTTAGGCAGTCAAAAAAACCCAACAAAAACTCAAACAAAAAAAATTGTCTAAATCCCAAACAGGCATCTTTGGAATCAGTAGTGCAAAATGTTTGCGGATTTCTTTTCCTTGACCTACTGCAGTAATCTCTCAATCTTCAAGTTTTTCCTAAAATAGTGGATCTGTGAATGTAGAACATAAGAACAACTTTAAAAAAAAAATGTTTGGGTTTTTTTAAATCACTCTCTTCAAATTCTCACATCAATCTATTACACATTTCTTACAATAGCTGTAAATTGTTGGAAGATCCAATTTGCCTGGGGCATTCTTCATCTGTATCAGGCTTTTGCAGGGGTACAGAAACCTGAGGGTATTCTTTACATGGAGGATAATTTGAGATTAAAATGAGCTTTTATCAGTGCAGCCTCAGCTCTGCAGATTAGTTTCAAAAGGAAGAGACCTCCCTCAGAGGTCACAGTTTAAATACCTGCACTTCACAAGCTTTGCTATCAGTGCAGCAGCTCGAAGACACTTCAGAAATGAGCTGATAAAATGAGAGGTTACCTTAAGGATTTCCACCTGTCTTTTTCTGTCTGGTTTTCCGGACTTTCACTTTCATAGGAAGCCAGATACAAACCTGGAAACAGTAAATATATGTTATTTCCAACAGCATCAATAACCCCCATCCCTCTGCATTCTTGTACATCCTATTGAACCACACAGAAAGAGGAATTTTAAAACTTTATGATCCATCAGGTAGKTGGTAATTGATTGCCACATGTCACATGTCTACCTTGGAAAGCTSTTATGTTCATTTTGATGAAGCAGTAAAAGAGCCCAGAGTTAAAATAYGTTAGCATGACCTTCTCATAACAATATTAAGCACTTGAATGGTCTCTTCTCTTGGATATAGAGATGTGGACCTATTTCCTCYGTCACAGCACTGCTACCAAGAGTAATATGAGTATTAAAAAAGAGACATTGAGGGCTGACTCCTAAAAATGAGCTTTTGAAGACCAAGGATATTGCCATCATTTAACACAACTTTATCTTCCTCAATCTTTTTTAAGCTTATGGGAACATGTTATCTTCAATGGATACACAACACCCTCAAGGTAAGAGTGRGTTACAGAAAGCAGAGAAGGAATGCAGTCAAAGAAAATAAATAATTTTTTTCTGAAATCTGTACATTGTTAAGATGCATTTTATGACACCAAAATGAGTCTCGATTGTAAAATCTCCTCTGCAAAACTGGAAAGCTGTCAGTGCATTAATATCTCACTGTCTTCACAGAATCACATGCTGTAATTTGTGTTCACGCACATTTCCTCATTTGACTGTTTCATGATGCTTTTATTCTTTAATGCTGTAACCATCTCAGCATTSAACTCAGTGCTACAAATGCATTGCCTTTTAATATTCAAGTGTTGGCCACCATTCCACCACGCTGTAACAAGCACAGTACAGCTGCATTTCACATCCCACTGCTGCATCTCTCTCACATATCCTTCCCCCGTTTACTCAGGGCATTTCTTTCTACTCTGCACTGCCCCTGGGTAATGGGAGAGGCCTCCTGTTGCCTCTGCAAAGGGCATCTCACAAAAGCACTATAGATATAGGAGAGGGCACGAGAGAGAAAATCTGCAAACAATTAGTGAGTTGAGGTCACCCTTTTTTAGTCTAGTAGCCTGAAAACTGTACTTTTACCCCAACTTTAATTTTCTGTCCCTTTTGAACCCAAAACAAGAAGAAATGCCTTTATCCTATCTCCTTTTGGTACATATTACATTAATCACATTAATTATTCTATTTTGGCAGTCATTCTTCTTAGGATTTAGGCAGGATATTAGAAGCRGTATTTTGCATTCTGAAGTAGTCTGTGAAATAAAAGCTGTCTGGTCTGATTACCTTGGATTAGTACAGAAAACTGCCTACAGAATGAAGAAAAAATAATCCCAACACCAGAATAGCTTACAGGAAGGTTGCTATAGACAATTCTGTGCGTGACAATGTATAGAGARGCAGCTGACAGGAACCAATGTGAAGTGACACAGTCTGACATGCTGGACACCAAACTGACAAGGATGGATAAGAATAAAAAGACAATCAGAGAAATGATTTCAGAACAGGGCTTTGATAGCTACAGCTTAGATTAATTAATAGAAGAGATTTTCTTCAAAATTCTTTTCTGTAGATAACAGGTTTCTTTGTTGTAGAGGAGGAGGAGGTCAGCTGGATCCCACTTGCCCTGGGCTGTGTTTACTGAAGAGATGACAGGGTTGGTTTGTGAAAGAGATTAGCTCTGGTTCCATCAATCACTGAATGAGTGGCTAAGGGACAGCTGACATTCACAGCAGTCCATGACATGCCTGTGTGGCCTCTTTTTGTGATTACAAAAATAGAGACACAATGGCAGCTTCCTAGACAGTGCCTTACAGAGAAGCTGCAGACAAGAGAAAAGCAATCAGGCAGCAGCTTCGTGTGCTAGAAGGTCACATTTGCAAAAACACATTGATAGACTGGGGATAAATAAGCTGTTTGGCAGGAAAGCTAGGAAAGAGCTGGGACTGGTCAGGGAGAGAGATCACTAAGCCATGGATCATGGGACGTTAATTAGTAGTGATGAAGAGAAACATTTTCAGTAATCAGTGATTGTTCAGAGTCTTACCATCTTCAGTAAAAATRGGAGCAGTGTGCAAGTAGTGGATGATGTTAGGGTCTTGCTCAAATGGACACTCCACTTGCTTCCAKGTTATAAATTCTCCTACTTGCTTAGCCAGTTCCAGAAATTTCTGTAAACATAAAATCATTCCACTCAGATGCAGTAAGATTATCTCACACTCAGTGTTTGATGGTCTGCACTGAAAATTGCAGGCCAATAGTCTCAGAGGGTTCTATAGAAGTGAGATAGGAAAAAACATTTTTCAGATCTTACTTCAAAGTTGACGTGTCCATTTGGAAGGCGATTAGCACATCCCTCATTCAAAAAATAAATGTCTTTGATCAATAGGCTGAAGAAGGGGATCACAATCTGTGGAGAGAAATGACATAACCATTATCTTTTCAGTWCAGTATTTTCTCTGTATGAATGAACAACTCAATTGGGAGAGATGAGAATAAAGAAGTATTAACTTTTCAGTGTGCTGTGCACTTACAAAGCAGTACAGTGACAGGCAGGCAAAAGGGCAGCAGTGTCTAGAGAGACCTTCAGCCACCAGGAGAATGGATGCTGAGATGAAAATGAACTGAACACCATGTTCACTGAGTGGAATAAAATGACTAAGAAAATGCTAACAGCCCGGTTTATTATCAACAGCATCACTATTTGATGACAACATCAGACAGCAAAGAGCAAAATAAYATTGCAGAACTCTCCCCTTTGCTGTTGTGTCCTTTTTTAGCACAGATGTTGAACACACAAACTGAGCAACTTTAACACAGGCGGGAACCAAAAAACCAGTATTATCCCTGGACATGGAAAGACAGAATAAAATTTGATGACCAAGGATTGTCTACAAACAGTTAATCAGGAGCCGTTTCATTTTCAACAGCTCCATGCATGGCTGCCTCTTGAGGCATGTAATTTCCTTCCTGGTGCCTGATTAGTACAACCTGCTTCTCCAAATTAACCTGCAGACAACGGGACTGAAAATATTAACCTGGTTGACAGAAAACTGCCATCGTAGTTCCCAGAATTAGCCCTGGCCACCATCCAGGGCAGAATGGCATAAAGCAGCGATCCAAGCCTTTCCTCTAACCCATCAAAGCTGGGTCATAATTTGCTATAAAAAAAAGGTCCACTTCGAGGTAGGACTCTTGAAATTAATAGAAATACAAGCAGGGATAAATTTGATGCCAGATGTTCTACAGCAGAAGGCAGGAACAGTGYTTCTGAAGTGCATCCTCAGAACCTAAGTGTGTTTCAGGATTTATTTTCATATTACCTAAACTAGATCAATCAACCTGCAGTAAAGAATACAACCACTCTATGTGGTGTGTTTTCTACCAAAAATGATGATGACTCTGGAACCAATGTGGTGTCAAAAGGTGGAAAGATACAGAGAGCTGGAGCCAGACACTGATCCCCAGATAGATATCACTGCCAGGTTCTGTCTACAATTTTTTTTGCAGGCAGATGTGAGCTTGTTCTGCCTGCCCCGCTGCCTGGGAGCGAGGTCAGCACCATTAGTGGTACTAAACATGAAGGAAAAGCCTTGCTGAGAGGGAAGGTACACGAATGTGGGCTGGATGCCAGGCTAATACAGCTACAGAGCCCCYGGTCAGCTCAGAACATGGCAGAGCTCGTTCTCATCTCATCCAAAAGACACCAAATAGAAACCTGAGGATACCAATTCTCTACACATTCCCATGGAATTGCTGTATTTTGGCCATCAATTATTTCCCCAATAAAAATATATTACCGTGTATRTTTTGCTTTTCAAATTTCTCTAGGAAAAACAATGGAAGTGGTTACAATTATACTCTAATACTGGGCTTCACTCCAGGCACTTTGCTAGCATAAAATCTGGGTTAATGCCAGAAACTCATATTTCTCTCCATTTTTATCCCCCCTCCATGCCATCCAACCCACCCAYATGCTGAAGGACAATTGCCTCCTGCAGAAAGAAGAAAGTTAATGAGATCCGACGTGTTCTTCCTCCACAGTATCAGACAGCGACAGCACWCAGTGCTGTGCTGTAYATACTCCCAACATTTCAAAGCCAGAGACRTGCCAAAAGTACAATGCAGAGTTTCCCAGTGGAATGACTTCATTTTGGAGCTGTCACAGGTCATTTGACTGCACAGACAAAACCTGACTTACTAACCAGTACACCCCTCTGCAAGCACAATTCAGTTTGAAGGTAAAAATTTTCTTCACAGCGAAATTTGCTATGAGTTTGCCAAGAAACAACATAGCATTTTCTATCAAAAAGAGCATGTTCTTTTGGATGTGTTCAAGCTTATTAAAACAAATAAATTATAATCTTACTTATGAAGGAATCAAAATTCCTTAATTCCACAGCAAGCATTACATGATCTACAGTATCTGACACTGTAAAACAAYCCAGTGTGAGTAGCTACCAAATCATATCCTGGAGCATTTTCCTGAACTAATGTTGTCTACACAAGAAAAACAGAATATGGGCTTTTCTGATGCAAAATAGATTCCTTTCAATCTAATAACCTCTCTGCCATCAGTATTAACCAGCTGGGGGTAGAGATATGACAGAGATTGCTAACTTCACAGGAAATTAAGTCAAACAATAAAGCAACTGGTTTGAATATCTATGATGGYTGCAGAAAAGCTAAACTGCAAAAGCATCTCAGACTGACAGGTCCTCACTGCAGTGTGTGAGAGTCAAAAGAATTTCTTTGCCAGTCACAAACATCCAAATCATCTCTCCTTTGCATAGAGAAGTGCTTTTCAGAACAACTCAGTGTACTCCCATTGCAGCTGAGTCAGCCTGCCACCAGATGCTGATCTCATTTCACTGTAAATGCTGTGAGATTCCATTAGCTTCAGCAGATTTACATCAAATTTACAGGGGTGTGAGATTAGCATCTGGCCTGGCTCCTCTACTGAATGAATAMTAAATTCCATATTGTGCTTGTTCATGCAGTATCTACTTTAGCTTCGCAATACTCCGTGCAGAGATTACCCATTTATGATTATGGGCAATTGCAGTGTAAAACACAAACCCTCTTTCATAAAACAGAAAACTAAAGAATTGAATGAAAGAATAAAACAACTAAAAGAAATCTATCAGGGCACAAACCAGGAGGATCCTACACTCTAACATCTTGTCAATCTGATTTTTGCAGCATCAGTGACATGTCAGAAAGCTCCACATCTGCCACGAACACTGATAAAACACATCAATTCTTGCTCACTGAGATGGCAGCATCAACCAAATGAAATGAAAATTCACAAGGACAGAATATCACCCCAAATTTGCTGCAATGGATTCAGACTAGACGCCCTTGCAGGACTTGTGGTAAGTCATCTTTCCCTAATGTAAATGGAGATGCACCTCATCTCCAGTGCTGTGTCCTTTGCTCCCATCTCACCTCACACATCACACAATGGGGGCTTCTGTGCCAGAGCCTCAGGCACAGCTGTAACAAAGCACAGCCCCACCTGYGCCTGCCAGCCTCATGCTCCACACCAAAATAAAAGTCATTTCACTCTGGAATACCCATTCCATCAGTTTTATCTAAAATCTAAAAACCGTGAATTTTCCAGGGATGTAGAGATGCTTGGAATCAAATCCTCCATGCTGTCCTGCCCTCTCTAACCCTCCAATGTCTGACAGCAAGGCCACAAAGCCYTTGATCCACTCCAGACTCTTTCAGCCACAGATTTACATTTCCAGTTGCATCTCAAAGCACACTGGCCTTGCCCTAGTGACCCATGGAAGGAAGGAGAGCACCTGCATCAAGTCTTTGAGCCCCTGGCTCCCAGCAGCAATGCACCCCCGATGTGGAAGGGGTGGGATGTGCTCACACCCACCTTCTCCCTGTTGCTGTGTGCRGTCAGGGACCGGTGAGCAGCCCCCCGCAGCGCTGTCCGGTAGTTGTAGAAGTTGCCAGTAGGGTCCATCTGGTGCTACAAGCACAAAACAACACACCTGGGTTAGAAAATGCTCTGGCTCCTCTAAACACAACTTTACACTCAGTTGTAGCAAACCCTGAGCAGAGATGAGCCTGCATCTTCACTGTGAACATCTTCAAAACCCCCATTCCTGCAAAACCCCACGAACCCCAAAGAGAGGTCTCCAGCCCATGGCTGTTTATACCTTCCATTTTCACACTAACAGCTTTTAGGTGAGGAATAAACACTGCATATTTTATATATGCCAAATCCTGGAATCCTCAATAAAATACAACCTTGAGCCTTCCCTCAATATCCAAGGTATAGATTGGGAATTTTACATTCAGCATTGTGTCCACATCTAAACAAAAACATGCATCAGTGGAAGCACTATGGCATGCATATAGGCTCATATTTTGAGGTGATTTTAAGTCCTCCKATTTATTTGAGTGCTCTGAATCCCCTCTGCATGTCAGCAGCTTTACACCTTCCTCACTACACCTGGGATATTTCAGCTTAGAATCTGGCCCTCTGCCTATGAAATGTGTCTCCAGACATTTCACACCTGGAYAACAATGTGAAAATTCCCAAACAAAAATATCCTGAATATAATTAAAGCAGTGCATTGGCACTTTCATTTTTTTACCTCGAGAATGAAAAATTTGGCTGTTTTCACTTTTGACCAAGTCTTCTTTAGCCTGGAAACTGGACTCATATTCATTCCAGCTATGGATGAGAAAGAAAAAAAGATAAGAGCTGGGTTTCCTTTTTCATCTGTGACAGCTGATGGAAGACCTGGTTAGAAGCTGTACTTACAAATGATTGCCATCAGTGAATTAAAATTCCCTATGTTAAAGCACTCTCGGGCAACATCAATGAAGAATTCGATGACTTGCGCTCGCTGTTTCTTTTTYGCAGGCTGTAAATTAAAATAAATGAGTTTCTGTAATGAGCATATGCAGGATTGGAGGTCATCCTAGGCATTTGTTCCGTGCAAAGCGTGGCTCCATGCACAGCTTGGGCCATCTGCTTTCAGTCACTGGCCCTAACTCTCTTCCAGCAATCCAGTGGATGCTGGTGACTGGCAGCCTCTGAAATCAAAGCTTTCCCTGCAGTGACACAGAGGAAATTCACAGCAATTCCCAGCCCCAGTGACTGTCTCAGGGCTGGAACAGGCAGCCCAAGCAGCCCCAAAGCAGAGCCTCAGCTTCTGCTGGCCTCCCTCGAGTCAGGGGCACAACAGCACAGACCTTCCTAAGGGCAGGACTTCACACCCCTACAACAGCAGCATCTTTGTCCCAGAAAGGGTTTGTTTCATTGCATTAATCCCTGTMCCCTCTTCTGTCCCTTTACAATGTGGCCAGCCCAAACAGCAGCATTTTAAATACACATTTTAATTGGACTGGAATCACCCTATCTTTTCCAAAGATGATCTGCAAATGGCAATTCTTACATGCCATGGGTCATCCAGGCTCTTTAAACTTCTATTATTCCTCCCCTCCACACCCTCTTCAAATGGGAAAACATTAATTTCATATTGATGGGACCAAGTTGAACAAACTAAAACCACTACCAAGTTAAGAAACAAAGTCACAGCTCCTCTAATGGGCAGCAGGACAGAGAGCCATGCAATGGGAATTCACACACACAGCAGAGCTTCAGCATGACACCTAACAAATCTGGCTCCACTAGAATCCTTTCTGGCAGAAATCTCACAGGATAACTCGAGGCATTTTTTCCTCTCTTTTTCCCTGCAGGGTTCATTATTCCTCTCTGTGCTCCTACTACATCAAGAGAACAGCGCGTTCCCCGGTGTGCCGCCGCCTCTGTTTTGCAATATGTTTGTCATTTATCAGGTCGTGTCTGCAAGAGCAATACTGCTAAAACTTACCATCAGATGCTTAGCTGGGTCATAAGAAATAAATCCSCAGGATTGCTCATTAATATAAAATCTCAGAGTGGTACTGCAGGCATGTGGTAAAACATGGCACATACTTTTGGCTTACCATGCAAATTTCTGTCGCTACGAGATAGCAGAGTCTGTTGAACCATTTCACATAGGCCTCAAGGTTACTCGTCTTCTTCTGYTCACTGAAACAACTCTGGGGGAGAAAAAGAGCACAGAAAGATGTAACTGTGCTCCAGACAGCTGCCTGATCACTGAGATAAATACTGCACAAAGGTAATYACGGGCCACATCTCTTTCATGCACGTGGAAGAGTGTGCATTTATGGGCTGATTTAAAGAGCCTGTGAGTGGGTGGGGGGCAGACAGGTTCTGGCTGGGTGTGTCACACTGCACAACTCACACTGCTGTCCAGAAAACAGCCCCATTTTGCCTGCAGCACGTGTTCACTGACAGTCTGCACTGACCCTTGTTCACTGGGGTATGAGCAGCTGGGGCAGTGCAGGATTCTGGCATCAACAAGAACACACAGACAAAATAAGAGGCACAGCCTTCCTCAGCAAGCTCAGTTTGTGGCTTTGGTTCCAGGACTTCCTTCACTTCAGAAAATGCAATCACCTACAGCCCTTTTCTGGAGGGGAGAGATCAGAATTTAGTAAAGTGTACAAGAGATAGCAAGAGAAAACATRGTTCTAGTTATTCTTTGTGAAAAACCCCACTCTTGGTGTATTTTCAGGATAACAGGTTCTTAGCAAGCAGCTCCTCCTAGATGGCTGCACTTGAATAGGTCACTTAAATGCCAGAGACTCTTCAGTGATAAGGGCTATTACAAGAAGTCCATTTTTCACTTATTTATATAACACTTAAAATAAATTCCCATAACTGACACAGGCTGTGGGAGCAGATACTTGGCTGAACTCTTCCAGTTTCTTTGTCATCAACAGAAAAYTTGACTTCAGAGGAGATCACACAGCCTGTCGATATTGCTTGGGATTGTAAAAATTCAACTCCTTTCCCCAGCACTAAATTCTTAGGCAGTCCATCAGAACACTCATCTCTCTGCAGTTCAAGAGCTTTGTCTGAACATGCATTGACATCCACTAGAGGGTACCAGAGAATACTGATTTTTGTTTTATTAGGAYGATCATTTCCCAGAGGCACCAAAAACACATGCCACCAAGAAGAAAATCATAATGCATAAGCAAAGATCCATTAATGTCAATGGGATCACCCATATTATCTAAGGTAAACCAGTGACTAAGAACCCCTTCAGAAATGGGGCTTAATATGATACCCAGGGTAATTCAAAGAAAGAAAATATTCAGCTGTGATTCTGAATACAGGTGTGTTTAGAAACAGAAATCACAGTGCCATGCTAAGGAGGAGCGACGCTTACCGGGACAGAAATTCTGAGCCCCTTTATGAATGGACTACAAACACAATAAAAGTGCATTTTTAAAGCATCTCAAAAGTAAATGTTAGCAAGCAGCATGTAAATATCAAAAACCCAAAGGAAACCCAAATCAGCCCCAGTCTAACCACTGCAGCTGCTTTTCACGTGCACTGTTTCTTGTTCCCTGTTATAGCAAAAATTACAAAAACCCCAGTTTTTGTACTGAAAATAGTATTTCCATCTCAGAACTGTTGTCCTGTGCCAGGGCGTAAGAGCCACAGCTAATAACGCAAAACTTGTGAAAAATGTGCAACAGCAAAGTTGAGACAGACTGCTTTTTAAAGGTTAAGCTTTATAAATGGCAGCAATATTTAGCACCTCCCAAGCATCTTCCATCTGCAGCTCAGAATGCTTGATAAACATTCATAAGTGAAGCCTTTTGAAGCCCACACGCAAGAGGGATGTTTAATATGATCTCCAGCTGGAGGGAATTCAGACCTGAGCCAACTGCCTGTGCTTGACAGGGGTGTTCTTCATGGGTCAGGGAATATGTGACTCCACATAAGGTTTGTCCARAGAYGTGTCCAGAGAAGGGCAACAGAGATGGGGAAGGGGCTGGAGCACAAATCTGATGAGGAGCAGCTGAGGGAGCTGCTGGGGCTCAGCTTGGAGAAAGAGAGGCTCAGGGAGGAACCTTCTTGCTCTCTACAGCTCCRTGAAAGGAGGTTRTAGGGCAGCRGGGTTGGTCTCTTCTCCCAAGTRACAAGCAGCAAGACAAGAGGAAATGGCCTCAAGTTGTGCCAGAAAAGGGTTAGRTTGGATTTTARGAAACATTTCTTCACTGTAAGGGTAGTCAGGCATTGCAACAGGCTGCCCAGGAAAGTGGTGGAAAATCACCATTCCTGGAAGAGATGGAAGTTCAGAAATGTATGGATGTGGCACCTGGGGATGGGGTTTAGTGGTGACCTCAGCAGTGCTGGGTTAARGRTTGGAGTTGATGATCTTAGAGGTCTTTTCCAACTTTAACTATTCAGTGATTCTGTGTGCASTGCTCTCCCCTGGGCTATACTGGCACAGAAGCTCTTCTAAATCATCCATGCAGAGCACAGAGAAAAGTCCCAGACCACCCCCACTTTGATCAGCCTTGCTGACTTGAAACCCTTGGCTGAAATCTCACTGTGGCTGGTTTGGTATCTTGTGCTTCTGACACACCTTTACTTCTTTGGTGCTCCTTTCTAAGGAATGTGATCAACGCCCAGAATACCTGAAACTCAATCTCTGCCCATGCCCCTCATCCTGAAACAAACTGCAGAATATCCATAAGTCTAAGAAGAGAAGGAAAGGGGCCCATGTTGCATGTTTCATCCATCCATCCATGCATCCATCCATCCATGCATGCATCCATCCATGCATCCATCCATCCATCCATCCATCCATCCATCCATCCATCCATCCATCCATCCATCCATCCATCCATCCATCCATCCATCCAACCATCTTTTCCCCATTACAAGCTATTTTGGTGCTCTTTGTGCAGCCCTACAAACACAGGTCTTCCTGATACCTTTGGTGTCCAATGAGGAAATTCAGCCATTGATGGATGATCTCAGGGGATATGAACCCATGTGCAGTTCAGGGGAAGAATTTTCCACCCCTTTTCTCTTCAGACAGTGTGTGCAATCTCTGACTCTCCCTCTCCTCTTTCCTTATTGTGGCACTCACTGAAATGCTGCTTCAAACCTCAATGGAATCAGTGAAAAGACTTCAAGGGCCTTTCACAGGCTTTGGATGAAGCCCTGATCAGGCACTCCATTCCCTGTGGTGCTCTGGGTTAAAAGCCATTGTGCAGAGATAGAAGAGTTGATTCATGATRCACTGACTCACTGCTGTGGTGTCTGGGCACACGCTGTGGGCATTACATCACATCCCGAGCCTTTTCTCCCCCAGCAGGGTATCAGACATTCCCTGGCTGTGCACAGCCACAGCCATCTGTCCCAGTCAGAGCGGGCTGGCAGCAACAAGCCAGAAAGCAAAGAGCAGGGTGGTGGCCGGTTCCTCCCAGGAAGGGATGGCAGTGACCTGCCAGGGCCAGCTCTGCCAGCAGCTGCCACCCTTGGTGAGCACACAGGTGACCAGCTGGCCTGGCCATGCTCAGCTCGTGACTCAGGCCCTGCTCTTGGGGACCTCTCATATCTGGACAAACTGTGGCCACGGGAGACACTTTGTATGTAGAGAAACCGTACCTTGGTGCCATCCAGAGGGTCTTTATGAACAAASGCCTGCACAAACTCCTCGGGTCCGATGTGACTTAGCCTCTCCTGTTGAGGGTAGGGGAGGGGGAAGAGAGAGGGAAAAGTAAGAAAGAACCCCAGATTATCTTCTGTTCCTYTTGGTAAGACATCATCATTTTCTGTTAGCTTGAGTAGTGTCATTGAACTGGTAGATATCCAACTAACCAGACATTAAAATTCATAATAATAACTAGAAATGTGTCAGTAGAAAGATGAAAATGAGAATAAATATGTCTCATTACTGACAAGCCACAGTAAGAGTTTGCTCCACTGCGCTGGATGCACAGGGTTACCCCTGGGAGCCAGCAGACATCAGCTCTGTGTTTGTGCTGCTTTAGAGCTGCTGTGTCCAGCACTGCTCAAAGCCTTTTTCCCCAGCTGTTACAGTGGCAATAAAGCTGCTCTCTGGTGTCTCAGCATCCACTGCTCAGCTGCCCACAGGGCTCTGTCCTGGCTCCCTGCCCACTGACCCTCAGGTGTTGCTCTGGGTCACTGGGTAAGGAAGGCACTGACGATGCACGTGACACATTAAAGGCTTTGCTGACACTGGAGAGTGCCCCAGGCATGAACCAAAACAAGGATAAATAAAGAATCCAAATATCTTTTAGCAAAAGACAAACCACCTCCAGCAGCTCCTGAAAAAACGTGGCAGCTCCAACCACACTCTGACCTTCCTGCTAGGCTTTTCATTCCCCTTAAACAAGTTTAGTAGAAAAATAAATATTTTCAGAATGTTGTAGGCCACAAAGGTATTTCAGAGGAGRTATTTTGGATTTCCTAGAGCTGAAACAGAATACTCAAGCAACAATAAAATAAAAGGTAATTCTGTTCAAGTGAAAATTTTAATCCTATGTTTTTTACTCTTACCACTGGTAACTGCATAGGGCTCTTACTAACCAGGAAGTGTTTTAAATATGTAGCAAATRATTCTTACTAACAAATAAGCATCAGATAGCTTCAGTGCAGAGCACCTGACATATTGCACATAGTAATGAAAGAGAAGGTAGAGAGCATTGATTACAGCACAGTGGAATTAAAATCTCTAGCTTCATCTGGTTRCAAAAGGCAGTGATGCCTSAGTTACAGRSAATCTCCCATTGGAAGACAGTTGYASTGTGGAAAAKGAAAAAAAMCAAAAGCAAGAAGAAAACTCCATAYAAAAGAACTTCTACTCCCTGGCTTAAGTTACATAAAGGAAAGAGAGCAAAGCTGCATGTTCTGAAAATTAACAATTCCACTTCTCAACAAATAGAATATCAACTATCTTCAGAACTCCAAAGGCTCATTTCCTAATATTCACTCCAATCCACARTGCATTTCATGTTTTGTTTTCCCAGCCTTCCTCTCGAGGATGATCAGTGCCCACGGGAGGAGAGAGCACCAGAGTAACAGGAGATCTGCAGATGGCAGCAATGTTTTATGTTCCTCTGTGCACTCAGGAGGTCCACAGGGAGGACCCAGCCCTGGGAGAAGGGTGGGCAGCATAAAGCACACCCAGAGTTTTGGCATTGCAGTTTAACCCATGAGAGTCTGTTTGGGAGCAGAGTGCAGCCCAACACAGTGGAACAGCAGGACTTTGTGGGGGTGGTATCTGCACACCCTCACRAGTCCAGGCACAAAATCCCAAAGGGAACAATGAAAGCCACATCAGACAACGCAAATGTTTTGTGTATCTGGAGATATGGAACCGAACTGCTAAAATTTCTTCCAAATTTGCACAAGGGTTAATGACCAGCCATTTTAACAGCACCTGCAGAGCTTGTGGGGCTCTGGGCACCCGATAGAAGTGACATTCCCGGGACTTGACTTTGCTGGGGAAGGATTCTCATTTCACAAATAAGCAAGCTGAAGCACAGTGACCTGTTCCAAGATGCACAGGGACACTCTGATATATTATAGCTTGCTTCCCAGGCACCTCTTAACCTGTCAAACCCTGCCTCCTGCTGCAATGCTGATACAACCTGGGATGTGCTGCAGCAGTGCAGACATTTTTTGGTTATGTCTGGAATACTTAGCAGCTGATGGCTTAAAATAACATCTCTGGCAGCAGAAGTTGGGAACCATTCCCACTTACCAGCTCCACATGTGTCAGCTGCTGAGCCAGGGTGTAAGGGTCACTGCAGACAYTCAGGATTTCTCTCTGGATTGATGGAGGTTTAGTTTTGAAGGCAACCAGCTTATCAGAGACAGCAGAACTGATCTTGACAATCCCCTCTTGCCCATGGCTGAGGGTTGCAAGCTTCTGATTCAGGGCTTGCAAAAGCTGGTTCATCTTTTTCCAGTAGGCCTGGAGAGACAGGGAGAGAAACATAAGCCACCCAGAAAACCTGACATAGGAGTGTTTTTGTGCTGAATTTTCCTTTCTACAATATACTCCCAAGCCAGCAACAGGTTACCATTTAATTTCCAACAAACCCATTTCAGAATAACCAGCTGGCTTAATTACAGCTCTGTGCTCTGGACACAGAGACTGCAGTCAAGAGAAGAGGCAGGCAGGACTGGTGGGTTGGGCTGGCACAGATCCTCCAGATTCCTGCCAACATCAGGTTCAAAGGAGAGGCAATGCTGCAACATRAGTTACTGCAGCTTTCTGGAGCACAGCAGCTTTTGGTACCTATTTTTTATGTTGGCTGAGGACTCTACCTGCTAATGGTGCCTTGTCAACCCTTATTTATTAGGAATAAGAAAAGTTTCTACAGCTATTTTCTCCATCTTTGTGACCTGAATGCAGCAGAAGCACACGGCTGCTTGCTACCCAGCTGCAGTGGCTGGAGCATTGTGTAGCTTTGAGTATTTAATATCCAAATGTTAATTGCTACTGAAGGGAGCTCATATTGTATTCCAAGCACAGCCACATGCTCAGCAGGATGATGATTGCTAACTTGCCCAGGTTGTTCTCAGAGCTGGAGCAACTTTCTAACAAAAGGTTTCAAGGTGCTGAGCACCCACTCCTTTCACTTAAGGAGAATGCTCTTCTGGGCTGGGCTGGAACAAAGAGCAGGGTAAGGAGGAGGTAGTCAGGCTTTTTTTTTTTTTTTTTTTTTGTAAAATAGATCTGTTAAGTCTGAAATGAAGCAAGTACCCAGAAGGTTGGAGAATGACAACACACAATATATTTGGAATCAAATCCCACAGGTGGAGTGAAAACGGAGTGAGGAAAATRAAACCCCCACTATTTCAGTTTTTATCTGTTACTGATGTATATTAGCTCCAAGGAAAGCCTTCTTCATGTAAATCACCATGCAAACAGATGGTCACACTTCTGATTTACAAAGACTGTTCTGCACCCAAACTAATGACCACCATCTAAATATCTCTCTGTTTTACATCCAGGTGTGTTTGCAAATCTAGCACAGCTTATGGAGTTCTGTGAACACAATGTTATTTTTTAGTGAAAATTCAAGTAATGATATATTTGGTATTTTGTGAACAYATTTTGTAAACAGGAAACTCAGTTTTTTGGAGGTGCGGGGGGACAGCACTGAAATCCAAGCCTTTTAATTAATATTAAACATCTGTCTGAAAGACTTAGCAAGAAACCCAGCTCGTCTTTCTAAAAAGAGTTTGAATGAGAAATCTTGGACCAGCCATTTCTATGAAGTATCAAATTTTTCAGTTTGGAGGAAAAACCAAAAAGCCACATAAAATTGCTTGAAAGATATGCATATTAGCCAGTCTTTGAATCTCGTTTGCTAGAGATCTAGCTTCACCTCACTTTGTAGGGAAAATGACACAAAAAATAGATACAGACAAGAGTAAACAAACACTCAGGTAAGCCAACCACCTCAAAAAGAATGGAAAAAAAAAAATGACACTTAAAGGACACAAACAATTACACAGAAATCAGAGCCCTTGAAGAGACTCACCAGAAATCAGTTGGATGCAACCTTGCCTAGAAAGCTTTTCTGTGCACATTGGGGGAGAAATTAAAAAAAAAATCCTGCTTTTGTCCTTCTGAAATAATTTCCTTCCTTCTTTAAACTGCCTCCACTAACTGAAAACAACATTGTTCATTGCCTCCAACGTGCTGGTAATTATCTTGCCACAAAGTGACCCCCCACCGTACAGTGGCTGCATGCTGGACTTTATCAACCAATTTCACTTCATTGCCACATTAACAGTCAAAAGAAGCACACTACTGTTTAATATTTAAAGAAAATGTTTCGTCCTTAACTAGGAAAGTTCCTCTGAAGACAGCAGGCCTCAGCAGGTGGCTTAGGAGCTCAAATTTTAATTAAAATTTCTAACTCTAAATGCAAATCACAGCACTTACTGAGAAATGCCTCTCAGCATGGACACCTTTACAAGCACATCACAGAGCCTTTAGAAAGTGGACTGTACAAAGGACAGGAGCACACACTGCAGGGGAAAATCCTGCACTGACCTACATGGACTGGATGAAATCACAAATCTTTCAGTCTTTAATTTCTGTGGCTCACWATGGGAACAAGTTTCTTCCAAAAAAACTAACGGCCACCATCACTCTTCTGTGCTGTCCCTTAAAATGAGGAAATTTGCATYGGGAGGACATGAGCTGTTTTTTAAATTAATTATTGATTTTGCTCAGGCATAATCACTTGCAATTACGGTGCCTAGTAATATCTGAAAAACAGTGATTTGAAACTAATGTAGTCTGAGGCCCCCCAGGGCACCCACCAGCATTTGTACACAGCTGTGCACGCTCCGGAGCAAAGGTGTGCACGCTGCTCAGGGCAGGCAAATAAACCAGGGCTCTGCAGGAAGATTCACAGCACTGATGGATCTTCAACAGGGCAACCACTGCTGTCAAAGAGCACCTGCACAGCCCCTGCTCTCCACCTTTGGGCTGGTTCCTGTTTTGCAGCAGACACGGTTTTGGTGGTCTGTATGGGTTTTCCTCACACCTGCTGTGGTGGCTGACCAGGACCAAGAGCACTGCCTCTGTTCCTTGAACGAGTTTTACTGCTCTGGTTAATGGAACTGAAGCCAGTCCAAGAGCAGCTATTCCCATTTATGACATTTTTTAGGTACAYAGGAGGGTTCAATTTCATTTCAATTTCTTCTGTCCTCTCTACACCCTTCTCTCTCTCATCCTCATGGGAATGTTCTTGTTGTTCTACTGGACTGCACCCCTTTGTGGCTTGAGGCCAGGCCTTGATGTAGCCACTGGAACTGAATTCTTCCACATCCCATGGTTAACCTAGAAGTAATTAGAGACTCTCTGTGTGCTATTTGTTTATTATTTTCATGAACTCTGTGGTCCTTTTAATGTTTGTGAATTAATTTATGGTTTTCACCCACCTGAATTTGCAAGCAGGTCTCCCAGAGGCTCCCTTCCCTGTGACCCACTGTGCCACACACAGAGCTCACRTATTTGAACACCAGGGCCATACAGAAATAAGTTTGTGCTCAGCAGGCCACACACTGCTGTCTTCTGCCACTTCCATGCTCCCAGAAAAGCTACAAGTCCATTCATATTTGTATTTTCTTTAAATGTAAGAACTTGGATCCAGAGAAGCAGTGGATGCCCCACCCTTGGAAGTGTCCAAGGCCAGGTTGGATGAGGCTCAGAGCAACCTGGGCTAGTGGAAGGTGTCCCTGGCCAYGGCAGGGGTGWGCAACAAGATGGTCTTTAAGGTTCCTTMCAACCCAAACCASTCTGWGATTCYGTGATTCTAACTTGGGAGATGACAGCTCTGCTGCTATTTGAATTTTCACCAGCACCTTGAGTCTGTGCTGTGCCTTCATATATCCTTTCTGCAAAATGGGAATATTGCTATCCTAAAATTCCATGTGCAGGAGATAAATTCCAGTGCTCACTCTGATGTGTCCCCCAGGYGCACCTAAAGAGAGATGTGGCTTTCAGGAAAGCTACTACAGGWTTTTACCATTATTGGAGAACAAAACTCCAGAGTATCCAGGAATAGAATACAGAAAAAGGAGGAAAAGAAGTAAGCAAGTGGGACAATGAATGTAACATCTCAACAGAACATCCCAAGTCAGGCATCCTCACCTCATCACAAGGGGCTATCCTGTGAATCATGTCTTTCAGATGGCCAATCATCCGCTCTTCCTGAAAGTCATACGGGAATGTCTCTGTCCACTCYGTCAGCAGCTGTAAGATTTTGGGTCCAAATTTTCTGATTCGAGCCTGAAATGGAAACCATTGATTGATGGACAGGGATTGAAATGTGTTTACTCATCAGTCTCCCACCGTGTGTGTCACTGAACGTGGGGCCAGGTTTTCAAAGAAGGCATTTACGCTGCACCTGCAAAGCCTGCACACATGCATACACAGAGGGTGGTGCACAAATAATACATTTTGACATGCAAAATGTACCAGAACGTAGGTGCATGCATAACTGCCTGTTTTACATGCAGATTCAAGTATTCTGCACATGCAATTGGCCTGGTTATGGCTGGATGGACATTTTGTTGGTGCAACCTTTATGCCTTTTTTAAAAACATCTGGCCTTTTTCCTGATTTGAACCATTTGTTCCTCCTTTTTGTACTTAACAACCCTTCTATATTTTCATCCTTCTCTGAAAAACTTGAATTAATTTCTTGAGCAACAAAGAGGTTTTTTGCTCCTTTGCTTTCTGGCTGTATATAAAAAAAAAAATGCTTAGTGACCAGATGTACAGTGAGGAAAGATGGATGAAACAGCAGCACGTTTGTAACTTTACCTGGGCTGCTGATAATGTTGCTCTCTTCCCACATGAGCTCAAGGTCGTGATAAGACAAGGACACTCACTCACACAACACACAGCTGATGCCCACTTTTGGTGTAGATTTAKCTGAGGATGTGGCAGTGGGAAGAGTCAGGATGGGGCAAGGAGGGAAATGCAGGGAATGGCACAACTGGTGTGTTGGTGTTATCTCCAAAGACAGCCAGTGTGGCTGCTCCCAAATCTTTCATCCTCCTTTGTGTGAAAAGGAAATGGTGTTAAACAACAAACTGCGTTTTTATTTACAGAAAACACAGACCGAAACAAACAGCCTTCTTCTGCATCCCACGTACTGCAGCTGAAGTGTACCCTGTAATCAGGAAAAATTATACTCTTAAGCTCCCCAGCTCTTTGTTTTTCAACCAAGGTGGTTAAAATGCATATTTCAGCTTTCCACCAACAACAGGTTTCAATGAACCACATCTCTAAAAATAACTGCTGTCAGCTAGCATTAAGCTCAGGCTCAAAGACCAGCAGGTGGCTGCTAAAGGGAAAGCTTTATTGGAAACTACAAAGGTCTGGGGAGACATTTGCTCCAGCTGTGTAAACTGCATTAGGAATTGAGGGAGAGGACTTTGTGCAAGTCACAGAACATGGGATAGGAGGTCGCCTGTGTACAAAGTTTCAAAATCAGCCCCAGTCTGGGGAATACAAAATCAGCTGTGCCCCACCAACCCTGTGTCGCTACAAAACCCAGATGCACTTCAGGCAGATGAGAGATCTTCATAACAAGACAGTGTTTGTCATTTCTTGAATGTTTAATGAGCAGCAAAACTTTGCAATGCTCCCATTTTAATCTTCCTAAACTTGGATCTGTCATAGAATTGGAGAACAGAACCTGACACCTTAGAAAACTTCTTTTGCATGGTTTACCYCACAAAGGTATTTCCATTAACACTGACTGTACAGGTAACCCAAGTCTGGGATTGCTGAGCACTTTGGAGAATGGTTCTCCACAGTGAAGGCACAGCTCCTGTGGACCATGGAACCAGCTGTCTGTGCAAAAACAAACACATGTTCGGACATTGCCGACTGGGTGTTTGATACTAAACTCATTGTTTCAAAGTTGGAAAGGCTGATGCTGAGAATCATTTCAGAATTTTGGGATTTCAGGAAGGCGGCAGCAAATTCAGCTTATTACCCTCTTGACTGCCCTGAAGGTGCATCTCCTGCTCCAGATAATGTACTGAGGCAGCGTCCATCAACACAGCAAGGAGAGCTTGGGCAGAACCAGCCCCGAACAGGACCCATCCCATGGTGGATCCATCACTGGGGCACTGCCAGAGGATGCACAGGGGTTGATGTACACTGCACAGCCCCTGGAGCAAAACAGGAGGAGAGCTGAGGCAGGAACAGCTTGGATTTTCTYGTTCTGTTCTCCTGTCAGGGCCTCTCTGCTGTTCCTGCCCGTTCCCAGTGCTCCATGGGTGCCACTGTCAGCATGGAGGGTTGGTGGGCACCTACCCCTGTGCTCAAAGGGRAGACCAAGAGGAAATATTGCTGTGCCAGGAGCAGGAGAGCAAAGGGGCAGAGAGACATGGAGTAAAAAAGGGAGAGAGTGGTGTGTGGACATCTCGACAGTGTGTGAGGCTGCTCCTACCTCCTGGCATCCACCACGCTTCACCAGAGCCTTAAAGAAGTTAACAAGGAAAGTCACCTGGGAAGGCTGAGACAGGGGGAAAGGGAAAATCAGAAGATTTGAAGCGACTGCTGCCTGAAGTATTGCTCTCAGKCTTGGACACCAGGATGCCTCAATGTCAGGATCTCAGTGGCAAATCCTTTATGAGAAAGCTTCATTCCAGCTAAAGAGAGGCGAGGGACACACACCAGAGCCCCAGAATCCTCTACCCACTGAGAACAGCTCACATTTTTCTGCTGTAAAGATGAACTAACCTTGTCCAGCACGGGGTCATCCAGCCGCTGCTGCTCAATGCACTTGTGACAAACTCGGGACAAAAGCTCATGGGGTTCAATGAAGAGTCTGGAACTCAGCAGGAATGTAAAGATATAAGCTTTCTGCAGGAAAAGGCAAGGAGAACAACTGTAAGCAGCCACACAGCGGGTAATATTGACTGTAAAAGCCCTGAACTYCACAGTTTGGGTTTTTTTCACTTGGCAAGATCTTTTTATGTAAAGAATGTAACAATTCCTGACCCTGAACATGGAGCTGGTTTCACTGGGTACAGGAGGCAGCAGAATCTCCTTCCTCCACAGAATTCACTTCCAGCCCTTAGTGGCCTAAACCCTGAGCAAACATCCAGTGAAGACAGTGTGAGGAGAAGYCCAGGTACAGAGACAGCAGAACCAGGACACTGCAGAGCAGGAAAGCTGAATGGGCAGGAATTGCTGTGTTGTACTGGGCTGGGAGCTGCAGACACCCCCACATCAGCCACATCTTGCTACTGCCCTGCAGATCTCACCCAGCCCATTTTAAGCAATATTTCATTTATTCTATTAACTCCCCAAAACTCATTTCTATCAGCCAAGTCATATCATATGCAGTTCCACATCTGTGAAGCTGTGGGAAGCAGGTCCGCTGGATAAATCCTTGGATTATTCAAATTATTCCAGCAGTGAATTTAAAATACATGCATGAAACCTCAGTTGTTTGCATCCTGACCCTTCCATGCACCTGAATTATCTCCTTTCCCCCAGCCCTGGCCATGCTCCTCAGCAGCAGGTATAATATTACATATCACACATTGCTTAATGAAAATCTCAGTCTGATCTGTCCATTACCTATTTTTATTGCCTTTCTGTTCCTTTTTTTTTTTAAATTGAGATACTTTTTTACTATTTATTTTTAGCTGATCAGAAACTGAGCTCAGGGTAATTTAAAACATGCTGCCTGCTCTGCATTGATAACTTCCCCAGTCTTCTAAAGTACCCAGAAGTCAGTGCTCCTTTGTGCTTTGAAATACAAGSCTTTCCATGGAGATATATTAGCACTTAAAAGTCTTCCAGTCAAACTCTGTCTGAATTCCACTGAGGATGTGCAGAATCCAGTGAAGTCAATAGCTTGCAGGACCATAAACCTGCTTCCAGTTTAGATCCTCACACTGTGGGTGAGGAAACATTTAATTTCCACTGGTGGAGCAAGGATTAGGATCTGCACTATGCTGTCCAGTGACTGCAAAATTGTGAATACAAGCCCAGGTAAATTATAAACCCACCAGAAAAAGTGTGTCTGTTGTCAAAACTCTGCACATAGAGGCAAACCTGAATGACTTCAGCAGCCACTGAAATTCAGCTAATTTAATGCCAGTTCAGACTTGGGGTGTTGGTTTTTTTTTTTTTTTTTTTTTTTTTTTTTTGCTTCAGTTTTCCTCTAAACCTCTCTGGGAAGCACTGCTATTTTTGAAGTGCTCCAACTGCTACATCACTAATTCATCACCACAACAGCTCCCCCCCTACCCTCTTCTCTTATTTAAAGGCAGTATCATCTTTGGGATCTGCTTTTTCATGGGAACAATTACAGAGCAGTGAAACAGCATTTAAAGCAATGCATCAATTTACCAAGCTTTAAGCGTATGCAGCTTTTAAATTACCCCTCTTAATTCAAAATTTAACACATTTGCACTTTTGCATGAAGTGCAGCCCCAATTCATCAAAATTAAACCATTTATTATACTGTGAATTGCTTACTTCAGGGTAGTAATCAGTGGTAGGTATCAGATGCTGGATCAGAGCATCCARAGATGCTGAGGTAAGGTTTCCATCCTGGAAGATCAGTCCTCCTTGTTCACCTTCTTTYGAAGAATGTAGATGAGGGCTGAAGCCACATGGGGTAAACATACTGGTAGAGCTCAGCGTTTGGGGCATGCCTTCCTGCAACAGAGACAGGGACAAAACCCATCAGAGCCACAGCCACATCTGTCTGCTGCCTGCTTTGAGCAACACAGCCACTAACGAGAGCTTCCTGTTCACAAAATTAAGACATCAATTAATATCAAGGATCCTTCCTTGGTAACCTTCACATGTCTTTCATTGCTGGCCTGGCGGATCATGCCTGTGATGGGCAGAACATGGGCAAATGGGAATTTGGATTCATGTTTTGGGCCAGAAACTGATGGCAGCTACTCTGGGCTCTCCCCAGTCAAGAGTGTCTGTGATGATTCCCTTTTCACTGCCATCYCTGGTCAGGCCCACACAGGAGAGCAGAGATTCCTGGCACTGGAATTCAGCAGGTTCCTGACAGGATGAAGCAGTTTGTTTGAACCTTTGCCCTCCTGAGAATGAGTGAGGCAGGATGAGATTCAGGGTGAGAAAAGGCACCTAGAGCCTGCTYGGGATGGACCTTGGAGAATGCCCTGTGGCTCCCAGGGGACAGGAGAGGTGTCAGAGTGAGTGATRGAAGCACGAGTCAGCTGAGGGAGGATGGAAAAATGTAAASAGTTGGAGGGAACAGAGAAYGTGGGAGCTGATGAAGAAATTAAAYAGCAAGGRAAAGAGAAATGAGGAAGAGTGAGAAGGCAGACACCTGAACTATATTTGGAGCCTGCAGTTAGCCAGTCCTAGATCTATACTTAGGTACTAAATAAATGTTTCAGAGRGATCCTGAGCACTCATCGCCTWCACTAGAGCTGCAGAATCCTCAGCACTTCTGAAAAGGAGGCCAGACAGACTCTGAGCATGTAGCCTAGTTCCAAGCTCCCCATATTTCAGTTCTCTGGGTTTTTCAGGTTGAATTCTAGGTTTTATCTTGATTTTGTTGTTTACAATCAGCTTTGAATGTTCCTCCTGTTGAGCAACATTCTTYCTCCTGTTTTGTTTTTGAATTGCTGCAGAGGGATGAGAGATTTTGTCCTGAGACCTCAAGCATCTCCAGCTGTCTCTGAAATCCCCCCTGGAAGCTGCTCCTCTCAGTAGAGGCAGCATTATGGGCCATGGGCTGGGAAAAGAACAGCGTGTGCTCCCTCTCAGGTCTGCAAATGCATCATCGGAGCAAGGGACCCCTCTGTGACCTGACTGTTTGTTTCCATGTTTGATTTTACCTCATAAAAGGGAGGATAGGAAAAGATAAGGGAAGAGCTCCAGAGCCAGGCAAGATCTGCTCCTTTTGCCCTGCTGAGCCAGCAGTGAGGTGCATGGTGACATGTCACCAGCATGGTGACAGCGCTGCTGGGGCTGGGGCACGCACAGCACACACACCTTGGGTTTTAATGCAGTCCTCTGCCCTTTTCTGTATTCTGTTCCTTTTTTCTGCCTCTTTACCATCCCTTAAAACTCCAAGGGCTGACCCATGGGTCTGGCTAAGAGTTTGGAGTTTGCCTTTCCCCCAGCAGCTGCGCTGTGACCCAGACAGTGAGCTCAGCCTCAGCTCCAGCTCCAGCTCCTTGTGGTCACTCCTGCAAAAACCCTTCTGTGCCTGGCACAACTCATCTGCTCCCCCAGCTCAGGCTGCACCTCGCCCACCCAGAGCCACCCTGGGGAGGAGAAGGGAACCATTCCATCAGCCAGGCAGGGTGTGAAGCTCTGGGAGAGGCTGCAAACCCAGCCCAGCTCCGTGGGAGATCTGGCTTTACAAGCAAAACTTGGGTGACTTCATCCTTCAGAGGAGGGAGCGTTCCCTGGAGCCAGCAGTTCCATCTCTTATCTCCTCYTGGGAGGCCACATGGGCTGACTCTGGGATTCGAAATCAACAAAAAAGAACCAAAATGTCAAACCCGACCAATTCYCACCTTGACTGGAAAATGAAGTAGATGTTGGATTTTAGTTTAAAAACCCGAATATGTGAATGCCATCGCAGCCAGGATGGAAGCTGAAGCATCCAGCTCTAATGAAYGTGCAGATGTGCCTGTTAATAAAGCTCTGAGAGCAAGTAATTGCTGCTTTTTGTCCTACACAGCTCAGACTYTGTGTAGTAAATGGGAAGGACTGCCAAATCCCATTTGTTACTTCTAACACGCTCTATGTGTTATGGCTTGTTTCTATGGCAATAATCCCAAGAAGGATTTCATGTCCACATAGATCAGGAAATAAATCTCATGGACATACAGCTGTCTAGATGAGGGAAAGAAAAAGTTAAAACAGCTGTGAACTTACAGGACACATCCTGGCTTCAGCATAAAACAGAGCTYACAAGTAATGATTTATTCGGTGCAATCCCTCACTGTCAATGCCATTTTTAATGTCAAATAGAAACCCATCTAAACAGGATATTGCCTGAACTTCTGCATCTTATTAAATGAGAAATCTTGTTGAAATACACGGTAATGYTTTTTAAGAAAAAGTTATCTTTTTAAAGGAATGAAATAAAACAGCTGTACAACTGTCACTGGGACATGTGTCTTGGGTATTGTGAAGAAATTAAATTTGACTTTTTATTATGAATTCCTGGTCTAACCTCAAGTTTTCAGGCAAGGCCTGTGTCATTCCGAGCTGGTGCATGATTGCCACCTTCATTGCCGCCAAAGAAGGTTTTCACAGATGCCTTTTTTGCTCCCTTTTACTGACATTATTACCTTCACAGCAGGATGAGGCCAGCTGCACAAAGGATAAAACCCTCTTGCACTACTAAGCTTGAAAACAACTAACACCAGCATTTGGCAGACTTCATTCAGGACAGGGACTTTCTCTGCTCACACCACCTAATTTCTTTTTCTATTCATGCATTTCCAGAGTTCTCTTTTCAAGGGTACTAAATAGAAACAAGATCTTTCCTTGAAAGAGCCCAAATACACAGACAAGGTTGCGCTGTCAATCACTCGCAGAACACAGCAACAACAAGGGAAGCACTGAGAGGAAAACAAACAAGCAAACAACCAAGGAGATTTGTCTTATTGAACTCTTTGGATGATGGAAAGGGCAGGCAGTGTAGACAGAGGCAGATCCTTCCCCCAGGAGCACAGGGACAGGATGAGAGGCAGCACTCTCAGGCTGCAGCAGAGAAATTCCAGCTGAAGAGAAAATCATCCCCTGAGCACCGTGTGAAATTGGAAAAGATGCTCAATTGTCATCCTGGGAGGTTTTCAAAACTCAACTCCACGAGACCCTGAGTGAACTTTAAGCCCTGCTTCAAGCAGGAGCTTGGACTAATCACCACAAGAGGTCCCTTCTGATTAGCTTCTCTGGAATTCTAACACATGTATTTCTCAAACCATTCAAGTATTGTCCCGTTTCAGAGCTTTTTAATGCAAACTCCAGCAAGTAGAAACTGAGTCCAGATTACTAGATATTTGTAAAGAAGTCCATCTTGGTACAAAAAGTTTTTCCACTTTTCCTGGAAACAAAGCTTGAATGAGGTAAAAAWGATTCAAAACCTCATTTGAAAACCACTTGGACTCAACCTGAAGTCAGTGAGATTCAAGCATCTGCACATCCAGAGGCTGCTTCCATGAACTTTAGTCTGATCCAACACACCATGTTTTGCTGTTCCTCTCATTTCAGAAGCAAATCAGATGCCAATTTCAGTTGATAAACGATGCTCTGGAGGAAGAGCTGCTGGTGAGATGTCAGTGAAGGGCAAACTTCCACTCCCAGCACACAAAATGACTGATGATACAGGTGGCTGCACACACACAGCATTTAAACTACTCTGTGCTCTGAAGGGCTGAGACTGGGGATGGGAAGAGGTTTCTGCACTGGTTAAAAAAACGAAAAAAAAGGAAATCCAGGGGCTAACTCTTTCTGGGACTGGCCTCTGTTACACAKAACCTCCCATGGGGCAGCAGGCAGGGCATGTGCCTCCTTCCTTGCCTAGGGAAAAAAACAAGGTGATAAACTGGAAACAAAGGCAGGCTTGGACTCAGCACTGCCTGGAAAAAGGCAACACCAGATGCTGCTGGGCTGGGCTGGTAACATTTTGCAATAATTTTACCAAAATGTTATGTCCACCAGCAGTGGCCCAGGGAAATCAGTGCCACCAATTAAAAAATAATGACAATATACAGCATTTTCTCTTTCTCCACTGGCCAGAGCAGCTCACTGTTTCAACACAGGAATGAAAACAGGCAATCCATGGACACTTCTCACCACAAATTATGCTGCTTACACAAAAGTATGTCAGGAGTTGATTCACTGAGCTAAAGCGTGGAACCAAAGGATCACCAATGCTTGGGTGAAAAGCCATCTGAAAACTCTGCACCTATCTACATCTGCAAGTGCATTAAAACCTCGGGAAAACCAGCAAGCACACAACACAAASCCACAGATCTGTGGCAAAGGGAGGTGCCAGGTGCCAGAGGATGGCTGCAGGCTCAGCTCTGCCTTTTGGGCCAGGCAGGTGASCTGCAGCACAGCCAGGAGGGTAAACACCCACAGAACCCCCAGCTCCACCACAAGTGTCCCCATGGCAAGCACAGCTAATGCTTACRTGGACACGAAATGCTCAGGAAACATTTAATGTGCTTTTCAGCGGCTTTGATGTGTTAAGTGTTTTATCCTTTATCAAAAACTTAATCACGCTGTTTACTTTTGATCTTCATTTCATCTCTGCCTTCCATCTGCTCTGCCTCTCTCAAGGGGAAACAAGAGCTGGTGCCGTGTGACGAAAGGAGCGGGGCTGCCGACTTATCTTCCCACCCACTTAACTTTCGGATTAACCAAATAAATAAAAGCCTTCCCACTTCAGGGATGAAAGCTTCTGACAATCTCCCAGCAGAATTACAGGAGCTAGAGAGGGTGGTGAGGGAAGGTGTGGAGGCTTGGGGTGTCAAGTCAGCATTCAGGGAGCAYGGGCAGGGGACAAACCAAGGGTACAGGAGATTTAGGGTCAAGCATTAATTAGGGAAGGCACAGGCTTTAACAAACACACCTAATCCAGAATGAGCTGGGAATCATGATAGGAGACATCTCCCATCCCATCTCAATCCTGCAAAAGTCTTTTA